ATCAGCAAAGTCTGTGGGAGTCTGTGGACCATGAATATCTATCCAAAAATGTGTGCCAATCTTTAGATGTTGAAATATTTCACTGCATAGTTAAAGATTTTGCTGGACTGAGGCAATGAATTTCTTAGTAATTTCTCTCAATGATGTTGTTCTGTATGTGTCCGCCAACCAATCAAGTTGCAGTTTACGTCCGTATGTCTGTCCGTGTGACTCATACAATATATGTTGTTACGACTTGTAAGGGATTTCAATAAAGGTATGACATGTTCACTATATTGATGATATAATTTCATTGAATATATGAGCTGATTAACGAAGGATTATCATAGATGTATCGGCTAATCGGGTACATGTATTTAATTACTATGTAAAGATGGATTCTTATAGAATTATAGAGTTAATGTTTATTCATTGTTTCTTCCCATTTAACATGTTTGAAATCTGGAATCGCTCCATTCCTTTTTAAATTATGACTAAAAACCTATTTTGAGGTCACAATAACCTTTGACGTTTGAGTCACAAGTGTCACCAATTCAGTGTTTGACCAACTATGAAACATGGTCAGAATCTCCCCTTCTGTCCCTGGGCAAGACATAGGACAACAGGAGACACAGGGAAGGGGGAAACATAAAGAAACACAGGAACACAGTGGAGCACTGTTGTGGCCACGACACACTAATAATAAGACAAAGATTAATCCTCACACTCAACCCATTTATGTGTACAAGTGCCAACAGACATTATGTTCTTTTTTGCTGTATTGTGTTTGCAAGCCGAACATCATGTTGATGAAATGAATGAAAGGGGTCTTAAGTGCACACTTGTCGTGTTCGTTATTTTGAGAAAGGACTTCAAAGCAAGAGTTGTCCTCAACTTCATTTATTTGGGAGAATAAGTAAAGAACACAGCTGTGGGTCTGATCTGCTTCACTCGAAACTCCGCTGGATCAAGGGCCCGGAGCACAGTCTGCTCCCTCTTTTTATAAGTTTGTTATTCTGGGTGTCATCCTTTCTGATTAATACATGAGTTAGTCACTACTCTCATTAAACCTTGTTTTGGGCAGAGGTGGTTTCTCTGTAAATAATTCTTTAAAGACCATTGTCTATATTTTGCACTGTGTATTATCATAGAGTAAACACAAAAACAGATCACTTCCCAGGCTTGAGGTACTACTCGGAGTTTGATCCAAAGGGCAAAGGATGGGCTTGCTTACAGTGTGTGCACCATTAGTCGTTGATCCTTTGATTTGTGATTTTCTACCTACCAATAATAAAAACATGAATAAATTCAATATGGGGTTTTTATATTTATTTAGGGAAAATGGTCAACAAAAAGGCTAATGTTTTAACAAACTTTATCAGAGATTAGCAAACCCAAACCAAGTCTTCTTCAAGTCTGATGCACTGTGCAAATTGCAATGTGTAAATAGCTGCTGCAGTTAGTCAGTGCCAGGCAATTTGAGGAGGAAGAAAAAAAAAGAAGGAGGAACCAAATGTACCATTAAACCTTATAGTCATGTTTCTCTAATTTACACAACAAACAGTCTGAGGAGGTAACATATTTTGGTTCAAAGATTGATTCTTCCCTAAGTGACAGACTGATGGTGCCCTATTTCCCCTGACTGCAATAGTTTACATCAGGATATATTTAAAATGTTGTCAGTCATTCTGTTTTTGAGAGACGATGCAGACTCAATTCAAAAAGCAGTCTTAAAAAGCTCTGACACAACGTAGTCTGAGGCTCTCCCGTCGATGAGGCCTGTTCCATCATTGTTAACAAACCAGCAGGGAATATTTTCTCCATCCTTCACGTGGCTGCTGAAGTCCTTCTGCCAGTGTCTGTGAAAAAATGAAAGAAAACAATGGAGAGGTGCATACATGCAAAAATAAATGCTCTTTCACCTTCCAGGCATTATGTATGGTGGGTCATAAGCTTAATGAGGCACCTGGTCACGTTGAGTGTTTGTCCCTTCACATACATGGTGGCATGTAAGTTCTCCTGGAACTCACCCGGACGCAGGTCTGTCACCTCAAACTCAACCCCATGGTAGAACTGACCTGCAGGAAGACAGCTTACTTCAAATCTTTTGATTTACTCAGAATAGGGAATAAGTCAAACAAAAGCTACATAATCAGTGCATCATGATCTTAACGTTTGTGGCAGCTCTCTACCTAGCAGACCATGAACTGAGGCAGACAGGTGGTGGCTGTCCAGGGTGTAGAAACCCAGGTAGTCTTGATGTTCCCGACGTCTCTTCCAAACCTTCTTGTGTCTAATGACCATGAATTTAACTGAGTGCCTCAGTTCTTCGAGCAGAGTTCTCCTCGTACAGCTAAAGTCCACCAGGTATAGAACAAACAGTCATGCAAATATGGTGACATGCAAGGACCAGCAAGTTTGGATAACTCCCTATTCTGCTATTTTTGTGGGTTAACTCAGTTTCAGTGTAGATAGTGTGATACTACATTTGGTTTTTGACTATTTTTGGTTTCTGTTCTTTGTTAACTTTTTGTTTAGATAAAGTTCTGCTTGTATCTTGCTTTGGTATACTGTAGGAGTCGTATTTCTAAGGTAACAATACAACTTTGTTTTCTGTTTACTACAGTATTCGGTATTGTGCAATAAACACAACTAATTAAACATTACTTTCAAAAAGCCTTTATATATATTTTTAAAAGCATTTCTAAAAGGGAAATGTCTGTATTTTTCTACCAGGACCCTACTTTCCCATGTTTTTGTGTCTAACTGACAAATAGAGCCCCAATTTTTTAAATTGCTCCAGTATTGAGCGAGAGCACTACAGCCAGCAGCCATGATATGGGTCACTGTAATCTTTCAGCACAATTGCGCACCATCAATATAGCCTCTAAAAGTGCTTGTTTTAGCCACTGGCAGGCTCAGATTAACCCTGTAAAAAAA